GACCGATGCCAAAGTCTAAGCCTTCTAAGGACATTCTGCCAGATGTGAATAAGCTGACTTTATAAATATCACGTGTTTTCACCTTCTTCGCCATTTTAATCCACAAATTGACTGTGCCACGGGGGAAAAGAGGACCTATACGCCAGCCTCGGTTACTTCAGGCATCATTTCAAACGCGCTTCCCTGCGCGTGTTTTGAGCCCTGTTTGCCACCTCTTTATTATCTTAATCCAGCAAGTGGCTAAGTAGGCTTACTAATTTTATTGTTTGGACGGTCTGTAATGCAGTCGGTTCCACTATAGAGGCCATGCGCTGCGAATGTCCACGCAGACTCCTTCGTGGCCTTTTAGTTGTAATTGCATCAACCTCGCCGAATCATGTGGAAGAACCGTCTACCCCAAAAGCGGATATGCGCGGCGATTGAAATTGCAAAAACGTTATGGTACAGTAATCCAGCCTATCCAAAAAAAATAAACAGCAATGATTTGAACGTGAATTATACAAAGAACGGTTCCTATACTTCATTCTTACCCTAATTTCAGTCACCAGTGTTCCAGCCTTAAAAGAGGTGGTCCGAGGAGAATGAATTGCTCACCGGATCGGGGGACTTTTCTGGCTGACGTTTCGAAGAGCTGGGGCTGCTCTCCAATGTCAAAGCGTCAAGTAAAAAAATCGATCAGCACTTTTTTGAATAGACTGCCGCATTAGTTGGCCTTGGGCCGATCGATTTTTTTCTTCTTTCGCTGCCTTGGCCTACTGGCCGTCGCCTGTTGGTGGCCTCCTGTATTACGTGTCGTCACCTCAATTGGGGTTGGTTGCATTTGCGTTCCCGTTTTGGGTGAAGTGGTCGACAGGCCGTGTTTGCTCGGCATTCTTAGGCTCCGTATGATTGTCTTGTCTTCGTCACAGTGTATGTAGTGACGTAGGACTTTATAGGCTGAAGGAAGGTCTAGATGCCTGTTGATGGAGTTGGCATCTGAGTACCAAGCCCCAAGTGTGAGACGCTCAGTCCTTGAGGTGCCCCTGCCTAAGACGGCTGCTCCTTGAAAATCAAAGCTGTGACCAGTTTCCCCGATGTGAGCCGCAAGCTGTAAGTTTTGACCTAGTCTCCGTGTTGCCAGTTTGTGGTCCAGGTTATAACGTCCACATCATCATTTTTTAAAATATGGAGACCTTATTAGTGACAGAATACGGAACCAAAAATCTATATGGGTCAAGCTGCTAAGCCTCGACTAAGCGCAGGGTGGCACAACTTGCGTCATAAGGTATTTTTGTAAAAGATATCTCCGATCAGTTCCCGACTTAAATTACCGCACTTACATATAATTTACGCAAATATCAAGTCCTAAAGCGATGTTTGTCTATGGAAAAGAGTCGACAGAATCTTGAGTGTTACTTGTGAAAAAAGTCAATCCCGCGCCCGGGATAAAGAATTGTCTTACATTTCGCGCAAGAATGAAACTGCCAAAACTCTCAATGAAACCGGAATTCCGCAAATAGTCCGATGTTACACTTTAAAAGTCAAGTTGGCAAACACGTGCTTTCGGGAATTCTTCGTCAGGCCAATATAGCTATATGAAGGAATGGAAGTGTGCGAAAGTAACAATGTTTATAGGTGTCTCGAGGATTATTAAGTCTCCAACACTCATCTTCCACACGAGGTCGGCTGTTTTTGATCCATAGAGCTAGGGGGTAAGAGAGTCTTTGAGTAATGTTCTTTGACTGAGTACACGGAGTACCCATCACTGTAATTAGGGTTTTAAGGCGGCATATCGTCATCCCTTGAGGTTGGCGTTGGCCACGACAGAGAGAGCGCGCGTGTCAGGGTTTTCTGGAATTAATTAGTAACAAGAAGCATTTGCGTCAGACGTAAATGCGTAAATGAAAACCTCCTCACGTAAACTAAATCAGGTCTCATGCGGGGTGAACAGTGCAATGAAGATGGACGTTTTGTTTACCACTGATAGCGATAATTTGTTGTCAACACAATTCGATGTTTTTCAGGGGGGAAATCTTCGTAAAATACGGAGGCTGTCCTCGCTGGTGATTTGAAAAATTAAAGTAAACTAATGGACCCTGTGTCCGCCGTATGCAGCGACGTCGGGCAAAAAACTTGTTTGCCTCCCTAAATAGCCGTTGTGTGATGCAGGGTGAAATACGCACTTCGGACCAGTCGGGCTGTAGAGTAAAAATATTCAAAGAAGTTCGGTCAGCCAACCGCCTCTTTTAACTGTGTTCGGACAAACACAGGGCAACTGACAAGTTGGTGGGTCGGCTTGGCTGAAACTGACAGGACTCCGAAGCAACTTTGTCGGCCACAAGGCTTGTTTGTATTTCCCTTGTCTAAGTGCCTAACGGTCCCATTTTGGCCAAACTACTGCGCAACCGACGCCAGTGTTTCCGATTATTTTTATGTCATCGTAATCTGACCGTGGGTCTCGCTGCTAAGACGACAGTCCGACCGTCCGGCTCGATTATGTTCACCGTGTGTTCCACAGCACTGTAAGAGCAGGGACGGTAAATTGCGCGTGACTTAGTTTAAAGTGAGTGTACGCTTGCGCATCTGGGGCCGGTGTCAAGCAGAGCGGAGGTGGGGGAGGGTGCAGGTGGATGGCGCGGCTGGACCCGCATCTAGGCGTACAACTCCACGCTTCCCTGGCTGACAACAGACACTCGACCAGGATTTTGACTGACAACTACAGCGCCACATCGGGGCAGAAAGACGACGGGGATGACTGGACAGCCGTGCTCACGACCTATATGACCATCGGGAGCGTAAGCACATCCACCGGCAGGGAGCGCTGCCAGCGCACACCATGCTGCGAGGGCCATGGTTTGCTGATCCTGGCATAGCAGACGAAGTTCTGCTTCTAGCCTGGGCCATCAGCCTTTACGACTGGCTGTGAAGACGAATGCGAAGACAATATACGCATGGGACACGCTGACTAGGCAAAAGTCAATCTGCTTTAGCAGCATAAAGATGTCGTGCACTTTAGTTCATTTAAAATTTGGGTGATGTAGGCCCACTCGCTGTCGGGATCCTACGGCCACCCAGATGGGCGTGACGAAGCTTGTTCACTGTTTGGGTGGTAATAATTTAGAGCAGCGCCGCCATTACTATGGTCTCCCATATAATCGCCTTTTTGGAGGCCGAAGACAGGCTGGTGAGGTCATCAGAATTGTACTTGTATCGAGGCTTGGCTAAAGCTGAATTTAATAACTTGGGCTTACGCCTCTACTGTCGTGTTTCGTAGGACGGCGCGTTTATTTCAAGTGGTCAAATGTTTTCTCAGCAAATCTACGGAGATTTGCCAATAGAAGTGCAGTGGCGCGAAGGAGGACAGATCACTAGAATAGCAGTTTTTGTCCGGAGTTTCGTATTCACACCAGGATGCATCGTCAGAGACAGAATCTGATAAATACAACGGTGTGCATAAGCGTTGTGCGCAGTTGCCATGCGGCTGTCTGCCTGCAAAAAATTATCGATTCCCGCATTCAGTGGTGATTGTCGTAGTTTGTACCGCTACTGCTTGTTTGCCCACACTCACTTCCTTTAGTGACGCCGTCTCAACTTCCATGTTGGTTGTCAGCGTGATACTTACTCGGAAATTTCTCTCATTGACACTGGCAGTGGGGTCAGTACTCGTCTGCACGTCTCCAGCGTGATTATTTGCTCTGCAAAGGTGAATTATTAACACAGAATGTTCAGGCGGGAGATCACTGCGCTTTTAAATTGAACGAGAGTAGGAAAGCCATGCCTCAAGCAGATCGTGGCCTACGCAGTCGCCAGTCCTCGCACGAATTTCAGACTCATTAAACTAAAATGCTCGACTGGCTCTCGTTAAATGAGCCGTGACTTGGAAACTGACATCGTTACTCCTCACTGCTGCTGTCTCCTAGGCCATTATTGCATGGAGTAGTCTTCCAGTTGTCTTCAGTATTTACTTCGCCCGCAACTGCACCAGATCCAGTAAATGACTCCAGACTTTTCCTTCCGTGACATTAGGCCTTTTGGTCTCATGACCTGGTGTCTACTGAGTGTCTTCGGTCTGGAAGCCACTCCGACTGCATAGTGGGCGAAATTCCTTACTCAGCATGGGAAAACACTGCATTGGAAAAGGCGATTTCATTTCTGACCAATAAACAAATTCTACAAAAATTTCTATACTTTATAATCTAAAGACCCGAGAGAGCTCACCTCTCCTTTCTATCGCTTTTAGATAAAAAGAAAAAATGTACACAGTTTAATGAAAGGCAACATTGGCAGTCCGATTAACGGCGGTACTTTTTAAAGAAATTGCTATTTTTAATATTCATAGGCGTCAATGCTAAAAAAACGAAAAGTGCGATGGGGAACTAACCCTCCGCTTTCATGGAAAGTTTGCTAATTTGTACAGATTTCAGTAGGCATGTCGTGATGTCTGGTATCCGCCAAAGGGGGAAGCTAGCGGACTTATGTTTAACCAGCCTCCCCTATGGTTCTAAACAGTCAAAATTAAATCGGACCGATGAACCAATTGTGACTTTCATGCGTCATTATCTGGTTTTATGCCCTAAAAGAACTTAATCAGTACCGTACGAAGTTAAACGACACATTTGGAACGATACTATCGTGATGAGATCACAGGAGTTTCCTTTGTCAGACCCAGAGGTTGCATAATTTTAAAACTTTTTGTCACCTAAAAGCACCACAGAATCAGCCGAATAAAATCGCGACAGAAAACGAGATGGCAGGCATACGTTGCTTTCGACAAATTCTCTTCAGGCCAGTATAATTGTTAAGGAAGGTGTTAGAAGCGAAAACATGTCAGTGATAAGTGAAATCGATTACAATTCGTCTTAAAAACCCAGGCGGGGTGTGCGAATGTGGGGGGATGGGGGATAATAATATTAAATGCCAGGACGCGGGGAGAGTTGCAGCGTTAGTAGACCTTCGACCACCGTAGGTGCGGCGCCTGAACGTGTTTATTCTAAGCGCACACGATTGGTTTTCGTTACTCGATGACGGTTGCTTCTGCTGCTGCTGCTGCTGCTGCTGCTGCTGCTGCTGCTGCTGCTGCTGCTGCTGCTGCTGCTGCTGCTGCTGCTGCTAACAGGTGCTGGCCCAGCAACTTAGAGTAGCGAGATGAGACCCTATAAATCACACGAAAAGCTTCGCTGGGATCCACACGATGTCCGGAATAAACATGATGCGCGAGAATGACACTGCTTATGCTCCTAGTTCTACCTTTTCCCAGCCATGCCGGGAGGTGTTCTTGCTGCCATCACGTTACGAAAACTAACCTTATGCGCACAGAAGAACCACGTTCAGGCTCCGCGCCTACAGCGGTCGAAGGTCGTCTAAAGCTGAAACTCTCCGCGCCCTTCCGCCCTGGCACTGACTACTATTACCTCCAATCCCCCCCTCACATTCCCACACCCCGCCTGGGTTTTAAGACAAACTTTAATTGATTTCTCTTATCACTGGCATGGGTTTGCTTATAACCCGTTCCCATATGATTGTACTGGCTGATGAGAATTTACCAAAAGCAACGTATGCCCGCCAACTCGTCTTCTGAATACTGCTATGGAACTTTCCGCAACTTTAAAATCATGACACACCGAGGTCTGCCAAACTTCGAACATTGGCCTGACTTTTCGTAATCCGCCTATGCCAACGGTGAACGAAGTGAATCTATTTCGCAAGTCTAGTCGTCACACATAGCTATTTATCCCTATTACCTTCGCGACAGCTTATCAACTGCATAAAACAGATAACAAGTGGGAAAGATACAGAGGTTTGAACTTCGACAGAGAAAATTAATGCCATTGCCCACCACGTCAAATTGTGTTTACGAATTTACTTGCAATTGTGGATGTAAATACATTGGGCGAACGCAAAGGCAACTGGCAGCCAGGTCAGTTGAACATCTGCCTAAATGGCTTCTAAAGAAGAAGAATAAGATTCCACGATCTTCTATTACAAAACACCTCCTTGATAGCGGTCATTCGGTTGACCCAAAACATCTTTTCTAGTATTAGTTCGAGCCCGAACAACTCAGTTACTGCGCTACCTAGAGGAAGCCCACATACGGCAGGAGAAACCCCACCTATGTAAACAGTTACACCACGTGATCAACCTCAGCTTTTCCTCGTAGATCTGAGTCCTTTTGATTTACAAAAGCCCTCCGCGTGTTAACTTCCCCATTTTATTTCCCATGTTGCGTTTTGAAGTTACCATTTTATTAATAAGTCCACATGCAGTATAAGATGACCTTGTTGTTTTACACTTATTTTCTCTGTCGATGTTCAAACCCCTGTATCTTTCACACCTGTTATCTGTGTTATGCAAGGACAGGCTGCAGTTGATAAGCCGTCGCGAAATTTACTGTTGTCTATGCCTTCTTTAAATTCATTCCGGGGTATTATTGCTTCAACTGCTGCATTCATAAGCAACACAATGATTCGAAAAGTCGTTCTTTCTAACAATAGGCGCACATCTTTTCACGGCCAGTAGCTTCATTTATCTCGCGTTTTGCACGTACTTTCGTTCAGCATAATTCTTCTTTAATTTAGCAAAACATCGAAGTACTTTTATTGCCATATATTCTGCCAGACCATTTCAATTCAACATATTTGACGATGACCTTCAGTGTGGAGAAGGTCTATTGACATCCACAGATTAAGCGTCATATTCACTGTTGTGTCACGAAGCTGAATTTGATCAACAACGAATAAATGGAAAACGGCCACCTGAGGTCAGTTTGTATGACGGTTGGATCGTCGTAATCGACAACGCCCATAGCGTCTCCAGAAATGTGGGGCTTCTACAGCTCCGGTAATTTTCGTAGGAGTGAGTTTGTGGCTAGACAGAATTGTGAACCATCTGAAGCCTTCTTCCCCCACTCACCCAATGGCAAGACAGAGTCAAGACTACCGGGGGTTAACTCGAACACAGAAATCAACAAAGCTACACGGCTCATCTACGCGCTCTATACTCGACCTGGCCCACATGTACAGAACGACACTGAATGCGATTCAGACCCCAAATGAGTGAGAAGGCAGCACTGTATCCTGGTCCGCAAAACTGAGAAGGACTACATTACCCCGGAAGTTGGCATCCTCCCAAGCCGCGACCTTTAGCGTCTCGTGATAGATTCAAGCACGTCAAATGTATTATAATGAGGAATATACCTATGCGCTGTGAAGATGTGTTCGCCAATTTCGGTCTTAGTCGCTTTGTTTCCTTCTCCCCCCACGCTAGCGACTGTCTGTCTGATGATGGGTTCAGGTGAGAATCCGAAACGTCAGGCGAATAAAGCCCTTGCTCCAGCGATCGCCTCTTCTTCTTCTGATCAACTAGTACCTGGAACTCGCATCTTCGCTCGTATCGACGGTCCGCATCTGTAAATCAGTTGGTGAGGGGATTGGCCGGTGCGGCCTGAAGGCCTATGCTTAAGGCCCTCTACCACACACATTTGTGTCTGTAATTATAGACTAGAGTGGATTCAGCGCACCCTACAAAAATGCACGTGGTGGGTCGACCTTATTTCCGTCTTGATCTAGCGCATTTGAGCTGTTGTAAGGATTAGTTTACACAATCGACGAGAACTATATGAAGGTCAGTGTTCCATTTTTAATACACCACTCTGTAGAAAACATTGCTTCCACCGGGAAACGTTTACAAATAATGCTCATATTTTCAGTAGATGTGCTGATTTGTAAAATGTTAACCGAAATTATAAAGTGAGTTTTTGGCTCGAAAATATTACTTGCGCTGGCTTGTTATATTAAACACTGTGCAGCATAATCCCATAATAATTCAGTAACCCCTGGATACCGACATTCGAATATAATTCTTTCTGGCCGCATGCAAAAAGGACATTCTATGAAAATGACTACTGAAATAACATGACTTTTTGACGTTGATTTTTGATGCCCTTATAAGTTCAAATGGATTTTATGGAAAACAGGCATAGAACTATCCATTCAGTTACCCATTTGGTAGAAAACTGCGTCTTCTTTAAATTTCATACTTAAAGGAAGGGCAGAATTTAGTTTTAAAAAGCTTTTCCAATTGCCGGATAACTTTGAACCCGACCAGTCTTTACATCTGCATTCGCATTTCAAAACTACGAGCTGTATATTTTCTGTTTACGGAAAATCACACTTTTCCGTAAGCTGCTAAGAGGAGGTTGTTTGGGGTCCATAAAATTTTACGGTGGATTGGAGCCATATAGTAAACTTTACAAGCAGCATCAGTAAATGCAGAGGCAAGATGTCACATAGATGGGTATTTCACGGTCTTAAAAAATCTCACAATTGTAAACTTTTTGGAGCCAAATTTTTACCATTCCTTTAAGTAACAAATTCGAAGAATATGTACGTCTCTACCAAATGAAGAAAGTAAGGAATATTTTATGGATGTTTTCCATTAAATATATTTGGATTCATAGGGGCATCGAAAATCAATTATAAAAATGTATGATATATCGGCAGTCACTTTACACATTGTGTAGTTTTTGCAGTCGGCCGCAAAGAATTTTATCCAAAAGCCGGCATCCTGAAGTACCTGAACTATCCTGAGCTTAATGTTATGTGGTGGATAGTATTACAACCCTGCTTAAGTACTCTTTCCGAGTCGAAAACGAATTTCAGAATTTCGGTTGACACTTCACAAAATAAAAAATCTACTGTAAATTTTCATCTTCAGCACAAGCGAAGTTAGCCTGCAGGGCAGTTGAATTTTTTTAAAGTGTTCGGGTCAGCTGTTCCATTTTAGTAAACGTATTTGATTCCACTTAGATGATCCTGCCAGCCTTAAAGGTGTATATAATCCTATAAAATCTCTGTATATTGATGAAAAACTCCTTAGGGCCGCATGTTGTCCGTTCGGAGGGGGATATCGCCCAGTGTGTCCACACTCTACGCCATCCAGAGAGCCATCGTGGACTTCGATAAGAACCACTTCGCCAGAGTCTTCGGAGCACCTTTGGCACTGCATGCGGAGCGCTCAGTCCAAACCCACAAACTTTATGCAAACAGAGCTTGAATTTAAGATACACTGTTTGACCATCTCGTTTATACAATATGCACTGAGTGACTTATCTCATGAAACACTGGCCGAAATTCTGAAATGCGCTTAAGATTAGGTAGGAGTACTCACGTGAGGTTGTAATATTGATTATCAGGCGGCAAAATCCAATAATATTTAGGACACTTCACGATGTTGCATTTGAACACACTTTTTTAACCTCCTATAAAAACCGCGTTCGGTAAAAAATGACTTTTAAGTAACATGCCATTTTCACGTTGATTTTCGATAGTTTTATAAGTCTAAATATATTTCATAGGGAACATGCACAAAGATATGCTTTCTGCAATTCGCTTGGTAAAAAATCACTTTGTCATTATACTTTTTACCCGAAGAAAGGACACATTTAAGTGCTTAAAACGTTTCCCGATTCCCTATTAATCTTGAGCCTGATCAAGCGTTGTGTTAGCGTTTAGCAATTTTAGTTTACAATGTGCATGCTTTCCGCGTAAGGATAATCATATTATTCTTTACGCCTATAAGAAAATACCACATATGGTTCACAAAATTTTGCAATGGATGCGGACTATGTTGTATACTTGATGAGGGGCATTGGTAAACGGACAGGTAGGATGCTGTATGAATGGGAATCGTACGGTCTTAAAAAATTTCATAATTAGGAACTTTTTAGAACCAAATGATAATCCTTCTTGGGGTATAAAATGTGAGGACAGCATGATGTTTTACGAAATGTAGAACAAAAAAGCATAATTTTATGCATATTTTTTATATTATATATTTTATATTTTATATTATATTATATATATATATTATATGTATATATATATTTATATTATATATTTATATATACATATATTATATTACATATACTATATATATTATATAATTATATTATATTATATAGTATATATATATTATATATATTTATATTATATATTTATATATGCATATTTATTTATATTTTTTATAACCACCGAAAATCAGTGTGCAAAATGCAAGCTCCTTGAGTAGTCATTTTTTGCATAATGTGGTCGAAAGCATGTGCATCCAACGGCCGACATCCTGGTGGGTACTAAATATTATTGGATTATGCCGCACGATAATCCCTATCACAGCCCCACTTTTATAATTGAAAGCGCACTTCAGAATTTCGGCCATTTTATGAGATCGGCCACTTACTGTACATTCAAGTGGGCGGAACGCTTTCGCGAGTACTCCGCATGGCGCATTCAGCAAATTGTGAACTGCCTTTTGACGACCCTCGATACCTGTAGCAAATGAATACTAAGATCGTTCCTGGAAGCCTGGTTTTTATTATGTGAGTTAATGGCATGCAGGAGCTTGAGTTCTTTATTAGCGTGCGTCGACCCCCCGCAGGTTTTGTGACGTCAGCGTCGGCGAAGACTTCAAAATAAATTCGACAGATATATGTTTCGAATTGATTCCCAGTGATGAGGTATAGACGTCTTTCTTGAGATTCAGGTTCAGAAGTTGAAAGAATTTACGCGGCTTTTCTGACGCACTTAGTCTTCCCCCAAACAAACTACGTCATATCTAGCAGATAGAGTGCTCATAGGCCCGTGTTTACCTGCCTCTCAGTAAACTGACCTAAAATTCTAACTTAACTGTCTCCATCTGCCGGGACATATGAAGCGATGCTCTCAAAAGTACATGAAATCACCAAAAAGTTTCTCTGCAATTTCAAAATCTGCGAAACTAAGACTCAGGCAATAAATTATTCGTAATACCTGAACCAAGGTTATGCTCTTTACTCCTGGTTTGGCCTGATCTCCATTCAGTCGAGAGCAATAACTGAAGGCCTTCTGAATTGCATCTCACGTATAACCCAGAAAGCATAATCGTCATAAATTTGAGTCTACTACATGTTGGCCGAGTGAATTAGTTTGTGGGCGACAGTTGGCAGTCCTTCTATTCCAGACTTATTTCGCTTTACTGATGAGCTTTATTCCTAGAGGGCCAAACGTTGGCATGCAGGGATTTTGTCTTTGTGTCATTAAACAAAATTCTGTTTATACCGTTAGAAAAATTGACCGCTTAGTTTTAATCTGTATATTGGGTGCTCGGTGGCCAGCCTACCGCCTTATCTTATCAGTCTGACCGTCGCAAATGACCATGTCCACACTGTGCCTCGCAGCAAGGTGGACGAGGAATGTTGACTTTAACATGAACCAATCTAGTGGCCGCCGACTTGCGAACCGTCCGCCGCACCTAGTGATAAGGCTACGCGTGGCCGAACACGGTGAACCAGGCTTTCACAGTAACGGGACAGGGTGGCTCTGATCCCAGCTGAGTGGAACTGCCAGAGACCACGTTAAGAGGGAGACAGTGCAGCCCCACTCTCCAGACTCCATCGACAGTCTTCCAAGTCGCGGCTTTCAGTGCATTAGGACAGTTCAGAAACACGCCAGACTGTCTACACGGGCGAAGTGCTCCGAATTGTCATACCGGATGAAACATGACTTTTAGCAAGCGGCCATCGAAACTTGGAAAAGAAAAAAATTTAAATAGTTGATATTTCTAACTATTATTTTACTTATAATTTATGACTTAGTATTTATGCCCCCTAACATTACCCTGTCCTGCATTAAAACTCGATTTCTCACGATGGGTGTACGCCGCTGAAATAAACTTTTGTTTGCGCATGACTCATATATGTCACATAGCCAGTTAACACGGCCGTTGAAATAATTTTTGCCGACAGATTCGCAGGTAAGTACATCCGATTGAGACAAATGAGGATTCGGGTTTGCAACCTGACTCGGCATAGTCGGCGCTGAAAAACACTCTTATTTGAACTAACAAAGCACGACGGAAGTGACACGAAAAGTGTAGCAGCTGCTCCAGTCCCCCTTTTCTCCGGCTCCGTTTTGTCGGTCGATGGTCGCGACAAGCGCTGACAGGCCACTGACACACGACCACCCCCGCCGGCTAGAACTGGGGCACCTCCTGTCCAGCTGCAGTGACCCCCGGCTGCACTCACAAAATAGTATCACCTAACGCGCGTCGATCGCTTTGGCTTGATTCCCGTGAGGCCTTGTGAGTATGCGCTCTCCATTCCTCCCCTAATTTGTCCAATCACACGACCACCACTCAGACAGTCATGCCCCCTTCCTGCTGACCCAGACACACACCGTGACTGGCGCTCTCCGTGAACGGACGCTTTTCTCTGTTGCAAGCAAATCGCTAACTTACGGCAACCTGCCCTGTGTACAGAATAAACTAGTCCTCACAGCTCCCTGACTTCTGACAGTAGACGAAACGAACTTATTGTGCGTGGTTTAAGTCGATCTCACATCCTTGACCGCGTCAAAAGCAAAGGGAAATGTGCCTGTAGGTCAGTTGGCAAAATTCTCCCTAGCTTTTCATGTAGATGACAAAATATACATGCCAAATTTCCCCAGACAGACTACTTGGCAATTAGGCCTGTCGGAGAATTTTTTCGTGAGAGCTAAATATAGATTCGATATCTGATTATCTACACACCCGTTACTGGAGATTCTTCCCCAAGTGTTAATTAGTTCCGTAAGCAGAATGCATGACGCCAGTCTAGAAATAATTAACTTCCAAAATAACAATAACTGTTCACTTGAACGTCTACGGGGACATTGTCATTACAAAGAGAAATATCCAAGAAGACGACAAGTCTGAAAATATGTAGAAAATGTAAACATTACTGAACGCCCGGCGGCCGGCGATTTCAAATTAATGTGTGAGTTGTGAGTCTAAAAAAGAATGAACGGTGAAAGAACTCTTCAGGTAAAAACACAGGTTCATTTTGAGACATCTGGCCTTATTCCCTCCTACACGGCATGGAACGAGTGTGTGTAATAGGGTTTTAGCGAGAAAAGACTGTCGATGAAGCCATGAAAACACGTGCGAGTCCTACCCCATACGTATGGTCTACAAAGTGTCTGACAGTGTGTGCTATTCCATTATCAACAAATCACGGCCTTCGCAGCCTGGTTTGCGTTGGAAGTCCCCTGAAAACTAGTTCCCTGCCGGTAGCTGTGCTTGCGCTCCCGCCGAGCATATAGGTGGTGGGCATGGCTTCCCAGTCATGCCCGTCCTTCTGACCCCTGTTGGGTAACAATCTGGAGATGGCACCCAAAAAAATCCGCCTAACCAAAGCAGCTTGTCTTACGGGACAGGTGGTAATAGGGGTTTTATGGGTGGTGGCTGGTCGAGATGTACGATACTAGCCGACGGAAAGCCTTATTTGAACAGGTGAATGATCGAAGTTTGCCCGCTCTCCGTTCCGTTATTAAAAAATGGGTCGCCAAAGGCATTATAGTGGTAACGGACGAGTGGAAGGAGTGTAATCGTCTTCCCTCAGAAGGTTATCTACATTCCTTGGTTAGCCACTCAAAGAACTTCAAGGACCCTACCACCGGACGGCACACCAATGCCATTGAGGCATACTGGAGTAGACTGAAAAGGTAACTCCAAGAGGGAGACCCTGTATGTGGTCGAGCTGTGTGGGCTCGCATAGACGAAATACAGTATCCTCTTTGGTTGGGCCTCAATGGCATGTCTTTGACACATCCCTGGGAACTGTTCCTTTCCCATGTTTTGCAGACTTATCCCATTTAAAGTGCTTTTGCTTTGTAATAAACTGCCATAATGCGAAGGTATGCCGTATTTTTAGGTGTACGTGTGTAACGATGGGGAAAGTTGGGTAACAGCAACTATCGTCCATGTAACCCCCTGCGATGTTCGTTCGGCCAGCCCATGTTGGGCCGTCGCGGAAAGTTCAAGTAGTGCGTGAAAGTAGGCCTGCAACCGCTGATATAGCCTGAAGGCGTTCGAGTCTACTGTTAAAGGTATTATTCCTAGGTAACGGAGTTTTTGGGTGCCGTCTCCCGATTGTTAGCCCCTGTTGGGTTGTTGTTGTTGTTGTTGTTGGTCAAGTGTATGTTGTAGATCAGGGGGTGTGATGGCACGCCTAGGTGCGGGTCCGGCCTTGCCAGCCAAATGCGCCCTCCCTCGTCCCGGTCTCCTTGACTCTGTCTTGACACTGGGTCCAGGCAGGGGAGGAGGGGAGAGTGCGGTAGCTGCTGCGCAAGTCTTCTATCCCTATAAACTAAACCACGCGCAGCTCACAATGCCTGTTGCATCTTGCTGTGTAGCACGCGGTGGACATAGTCGGAATCGACGGCCGAGCTGTCATATATGGTCTAAGCGCTCTTCTTTACGTGAGTTAATATTACCTCGACGAGGAGACCGGTCGTGTGCCAAAGTCAAGGCAGAGGCGACTAATGACAAAATATTCACCGATCAGTTGGAGAAACATGAGGGCCCATTGTGAACCTCAACGGCTCCATTTGGAACGAAACGAGGAAGAGTGGTTAAAGGCCGTAAAAACAATCGCTTCAGGTGGCAGTCACAGTGGACTTAAAAATCCGAAAATAATTTCAAGTGTCATCACTTTGAGTAGAAGTTCCTAAGTGAAAGAGCTAAACATGAAGATGCAACATTCAGACTTTGGGATGACTTTTACCGAAGTACAGTAGTTGAATATTTTAGAAGTAAGTTAATGAGAAAACCTCGATACCGTTCGATCTAGACAGATCTAAACAGCTTTGTTGTGGATACTATTGACCTGTTGACTACGTAGTACAGAAATGAACTTACATTCATCTCTCTCATTGTGCTAAATGTCTTCTAAATGGGCAACATTAGACAACGGACCAAAAATCTAAGCAAAGCCTTTTTCAACCAAGAAGGAGCCACGTCAGCACGTCCTGCCGGTCCTGAAACGCCGCACTAAGAAATCGGTATCGAGCCGAAAACTTGAATAGATGAATACGATAGATTGCGACAGAACAGATGGCGGGAGCACGACCAGAGATAAACTACCGAGTTTAGCTTACTGGAAAGCTTACTAGAAAGCCAAAGCACACATAAATATTGTCGGAAACAGTGTCATAAATAGCTTAAAAGGATAAGTATCAAGACTTATACAGGCAAACTCCGGCGGGGAGTTGTTTGGAGCCAAGTGGTGGTGGAACACTTAGATACATGATGACTGTATGCATGCACACCTAGCTGCTCTCATAGATGAGGCCTTGCTCCATGGTTCAACGTGTTTGGATGATCATAAGTGATGGAAATGGATACTGAGGGAGATTTCGGAGCATAAATACGTTGAGGTACCTATCGACTTGTGTCTAAAGCGATTTTTTATAAATAACAAACTTACAGAAAACTTTCAATGCGCACAGCTCCCTGTCTAAATGGACGAAAACATTTGAAGCAATTGACATCAGATATGAGCTACGGCGGTCGCTTAAAGAGGAAGAAGTGAGGCAAACAAAAAAAAACGAAAGCATATATATGTCACCGGAGAATCAGGTAAGATGGCTAACAAGCCCAGGCGATAATAAATGAACTAAGTTTGGACTAACTCGTGCATATAGAGCTTCATACTGAGACCACACACACACGCACAATAGTCCGACTGTCGTTTTCGACAATGTCTACCGTGTGCCCCACACCTGCTGCAGGGACGGTGATTTGCGCAGGGGTTTATAGTGCCAGTAGACTTGCGCTGCATCTACCTACACTCTCTCCTCCTCCCCCGCCTGAGCCCGGTGTCAAGACAGAGTCAGGAAGACCGGAGACGAGGGAGGCCGCAGGTGGATGACTCGGACGGATCCTCGACTTGGCGCTCTACTCCGCACCCCCTGGTCCAGACAACAATGACCAAGATCTTGACCGCCACAACAATGGAGGGCGGGGCAGTGATCCCAGTTGTGCGACGGCTGTCAACAACAGGGACTGCCAGCGCACCTCCCACATGTTGGCACTTGTTATTGCACACAGATAACGCCTTCCAGAATCCGATGTGGCCCCCGTGTTGGTCCAGCGCATCTAACACGTGGCCCGTTTGGAGAGCACACACCGACAACTGTTCGACCGTTGTGCCCAGCGATGTCCCCATATGCTCCATAGCCTAACGAAGCAGGCGCGGTACATTGAGTGTGATTTAGTTTGTACTGGTAGTAGACTTGCACAGTACCTACTGCACTCTCTCCTACCTCTCCTGGGCCCAGTGTCAAGACAGAGGCAAGAAGGCCGGCAGCAGAGAAGGGTGCAGGTGGAAGGCACATCCGAGCCCGCGCCTCGGGGCTCCACTTCACACCCCTGGTCCACAGCAAACACTTGACCAGGATTTTAACCAACCACAGCACCGCAACGGATCAAGGAGACGGAGATGACTGGGTAGTCATGCTCACGACCTGTATACCCAGCGGAAGCGCAAGAGCATCTACCGGCAAGGGATTAGGTGTCAGAGAACTGACAGCGCATACCAGGCTAGAGGGACCATTGTTTGCTGATACTGTCGTGGCAGACGATTACAGTTCTTGAGTCCCAGATGTGTGACACGCAGCACTGCATTTACCTTGGCCATCACCCTTCGAAAGCCGGATAACCAATCAGTTATCGACTGAGAGGCACTACCCACGTGCATTCACTTTTAAATGCAAGAATGTCAGAGGTGCCATTGCAGCTTGACTCACAACTCACCTGTCGGCCACTCCACACAAGCACACACAACTGGACAGACTACATGGACTGAGTTGAGGTGTCAGTCGGCAGCCTTCCAAGGCACGGCGCCTGGTACACCTTAATAGTCTCAGACCCGGATTACACATGCAGCAGAAGACTCGTACCCAACGATGTGAGGAGTGGAGTCATTCAGGGTAGTGTACTCAGCCCGCTTTTATTTTACCTTTTTGTTAACGATGCACCCGATGTATTTCAGAATGGTAAGCTCTTCATGTATGCCGATGGTCTGTAAGTTGCTTATCGATATAAGCCGGCAGATCGTGACACCGTGCTTGAAATCCTAAAGAACGACCTACAGGCCTTTGCCCAGTGGTGCTGCACACGGCGCCTTTCTCTTTCTTGGCATAAATGCTCACTCATCGTGGTTGGCGACGACCGCCAACCTGAACTAATCATTGATGGTCACGCCACAAATGCGCCTGGGGTTATTAAGGATCTGTTTGTATCATACTCCAGTAGCCTTAATCTTTCGGAGCACTGTGCCTTGATAGTCTCCAAAGCACTCAGAACGACCGGGTTTGTCCTCCGAAACTTTAAAACTAGTGACATTAGAATGCACCTTTATAACATGTACGTTAGACCTGGTCCGGAATACTGTTCGTTTTTATTTAGCCTCATGCGTGCTGCTGAGCAGAAGAAAATAGAATCTGTTCAACACGTTTTACCAAGAGAGTCAGCCCTGGAACACCGGCATTTGTCTTACCAAGAACGTTACGGGTTACAGGCCTTGATCCTTTATGGTTTCGTAGATTACAAAAGGGACTATTTTTGCTATTTAAGTTTTTTATATAATCGTAGCTTTAACGCACTCACTACTTTAAGACATTATGTTCACCCCCGACGTTACAGTCACCGTGAGGTCATTTTATTTCTTCCTCTGGTACGTACTATTAAATATCGTCGGTTCTTTTCTGTAAATGCAATTGATATTTGGAATAAACTACCCATAAGTGTGAAAACTCTGCAAAATTATCCTTTATTTAAGAGAACTATTACTCGATTTTTGCATTCAGAAAAGCTCCCACAAATTTTGGGTGCTGAATCCACTGATCGACTCTACCGTAGCGATGGCGTTTGGGGTCTCTGACAACTATGGCCGGTCTCACCAGGAACAATTTCTTTGGCCAACAGCGACAGCTGTTCTTCGGCGCTTCTGTTTGGTTTAGCTCAAACTTCATGAAAGAAATTGGCGACTGATAATATCCGATACCGTGCAACCCCTTCCTTCTTGACGGTCGAAAGTTTGCCCTCAGCAGGTTTTTTTACCTGAACCCTCCAACCCATAAAAACCACCATCAACTATATTTTTATTCCTTTTCCACCGGAGTTTTTTCCACTGCTGGCCGGATTCGTGTTCAACGCTTCCCTGACAATGCCTGTAAACAGGCAGTAAATAAAATTATTATTATTATTAAGAGTCGCATGGAGAAGTCGAGGAGCGCACTTCCCACTTGCATGGGGAGGTGACGATTGAGTCCTTACGGTGAATAATATTGTTGTGTGTAGCAGGTGCCGGTAGGAAGTGTGGTGGCGTAATGTAGTCGGCGTTTATCTACCGGAGGCTTTCATTAATGCGTATGTGATTTAGTAGGCCCATACGGTGGCGATGTGTGCGGAGGTAGTGGGGCAATTGACGCAGATGTAGCAGGCGTATGTTTGTCCCCCGGGAACTGGTTCGCCAGTCTGTCCACCTCAGTTTGTCCTGGTAGATCTGAGTCCTTGTTATTTACAAAATCCTTCGGCGTGTTAACTTACCCATTTTATTTCCTATGTTGCGTTTTGAAGTTACCATTTTATTGACAAGTCTACATGCAGTATACAATGACCTTGTTGTTTTACACTTATTTTCTCTGTCGAAGTTTAAACCTCTGTATCTTTCACACTTGTTATCTGTGTTAAGCAACGACAGGCTGCAGTTGATAAGCCGTCGCGAAATTTACTTTTGTCTATGCCTGCTTTAAGTTCATTCCGGGAAATATTTCTTCAACTACTGCATTCATAAACAACACAATGACTCGAAAAGTCGTTCCCTCTGACAATAGGCGGACATATTTTCGCGGCCAGCAGCTTCATTAATCTCGCGTTTTGCACACAATTTCGTTCAGCATAATTCTTTTTTAATTGAACAAAACATCAAAGTACTTTTATTGTTATATATTCTGTCAAACCATTTAAATGCAACGTATTCGAAGATGACATTCAGTGTGGAGGTCTATTGACATCCACAGATTAAGCGTCATATTCACTGTTGTGTCACGAAGCTGAATTTCATCAACAGTACATAAATGGAAAACAGTCACTTGAGGTCAGTTTGTATGACGGTCGGGTCGTTGTAGCCGACAACGCCCATAGGGTGTCCCAAAAGGAGGGCTTCTACAGCACCGGCAATTTGCGTGGGAGTGAGTTTATGGCCACACAGACTTGTGCATCATCTAACGCCTTCTTCCCTCACCCACCCAATGGCAAGACGGAGGTAAAACGACCGGTGTTTAACTCGAGCACAGTAATCAATAAAGCTACACAGCTCATCTACGCGCTCCACACGCGACCTGATCCACATGTACAGAACGACACTGAATGCGATTCAGACCCCAAATGAGTGAGAAGGCAGCACTGTATCCTGTTCCTCAAAACTGAGAAAGACTACTTTACCCCGTAAGTTGGCATCCTTCCAAGCGGCGACTTTTAGCGTCTTGTGATAGATTTAAGCCGTCAAATTTATTATAATGAAGAATACACCTATGCGCTATGAAGATGTGTTTGTCAATTTCGGTCTTAATCACTTTGTTTCCTTCTCCCCCCACGCTAACGACTGTCTATCTGATGATGGGTTCAAGTGAGAATCCGAAACGTCAGGCCAATAAAGTCCTTGTTCCAGCGATCGCTTCTTCTCCTTCTGATCAACTAGTACCTGGAACCCGCATCTTCGCTCATATCGACGGTCCGCATCTGTAAATCAGTTGGTGAGGGGATTGGCCGGTGCGGCCTGAAGGCCTTTGCTTAAGGCCCTCTACCACACACCTGTGTGTCTGTAGTTATGGACTAGAGTGGACTCAGCGCACTCTACAAAAATGCACTTGGTGGGCCGATCTTATCTCCGTCTTGATCTAGCGTACTTGAGCTGTTGTAAGGAATAGTTTACACAATCGATGAGAACTATATGAAGGCCAGTGCTCCATTTGTAATACACCACTCTGTAGAAAACACTGCTTCCACCGGGAAACGTTTGCAAATTATGCGCATATTTCCAGTAGATGTGCTAATTTGTAAAATGTTAACCGAAATTATAAAGGGCGTTTTCGGCTCGAAAAGATTACTTAGGTTGGCTTGTTATATTAATCACTGTGTAGCACAATCCCATAATAATTCAGTATCCTCAGGATACCGACTTTCGAATTATCTTCTTTCTGGCCGCCTGCAAAAACTACACTCTATTAAAATGACTACTGAAATAACATGACTTTTTGACGTTGATTTTTGATGCCCTTATAAATACAAATAGATTTTATGGGAAACAGGCATAGAACTATCCATTCAGTTACCCATCTGGTAGAAAACTGCGTCTTCTTCAAATTTCATACTTAAAGGAAGGGCGAAATTTGATTTTAAAAAGCTTTTCCAATTCCCGGATAAGTCTGAACCCGACCTGCCTTTGCACCTGCACTCGCATTTCAAAACTGCGAGCTGTATATTTTCTGTTTACGGAAAATCACACTTTTCCGTAAGCTGCTAAGAGGAGGTTGATTGGGGTTCGTAAAATTTTAAGGTGGATTGGAGCCATATAGTAAACTTTACAAGCAGCATCAGTAAATGCAGAGGCAAGATGCCACATTAAGGGGTATTTCACAGTCTTAAAAAATCTCACAATAGTAAACTTTTTGGAACCCAATTTTTACCATTCCTTTAAGTAACAACTTCGAAGAAGATATACTTCTATCAAATGAGCAAATAAAGGAATATTTTATGGATGTTTTCCATTAAATATATTTGAATTCATAGGGACATCGAAAATCAATGATAAAAATGTATGATATATCGACAGTCATTTTTCACATTGTGCAGTTTTTGCAGTCGGCGCAAAGAAATTTATCCAAAAGCCGGCATCCTGAAGTAACTGAACTATCATTAGCCTAATATTATGTGGTGGATAGTATTCAACCCTGCTTAAGCACGCTTTCCGAGTCGAAAACGAATTTCAGAATTTCGGTTGACACTTCACGAGATAAAAAATCTACGGTAAATTTTCATCTTTAGCACAAGCGAAGTTAGCCTGCAGGACAGTCGAATTTTTCCAAAGTGTTCGGGTCAGCTGTTCCATTTTAGTAAACGTATTTGATTTCACTTAGATGATCCTGCCAGAACCCTGGATAGACGTGTCTAATTTCTCCACGGACCAGCCTTAAAGGTGTATATAATCCCATAAAATCTCCGTATATTGATGAAAAACTCCCTAGGGCCGCATGTTGTCCGTTCGAAAGGAGATATCGCCCAGTGTGTCCACACTCTACGCCATCCAGAGAGCCATCGTGGATTTCGATGAGGAGCACTTCGCCAGAGTCTTCGGCGCACCTTTGGCACTGCATGCGGAGCGCTCAGTCCAAACCCATAAACCTTATGCAAACAAAGCCTTAATTTAAGAGACACTGTTTGACCATTTCGTTTATGAAATATGCACTGACTGACTTATCTCATGAAGTACTGGTCGCAATTCTGAACTGCGCTTAAGATTAGGAAGGAATACTCACGTGGGGTTGTAATATTGATTATCAGGCGACATAATCCAATAATATTTAGGATACTTCACGATGTTGCATTTGAACACACTTTTTTAACCTCCTGTAAAAACCGCGCTCGGTAAAAAATGAATTTTAAAGTAACATGCCATTTTCACGTTGATTTTCGATAGCCTTTTAAGTCTTAATATAAATCATAGGGAACATGCACAAAGATATGCTCTCCGCAATTCGCTTAGTAAAAAAGCAAGTTGTCATTATACTTTTTACCCGAAGGAAGGACATATTTAAGTGTTGAAAATGTTTCCCAATTTCCGATTATTCTAGAGCCTGATCAGCCATTGTATTAGCGATTAGCGAATTTAGTTTACAAGCTGCATGCTTTTCGCGTAAGGATAATCATATTATTTTTTACGCCTATAAGAAAATACCACATATGTTTCAGAAAATTTTGCAACGATGCGGACTATGTTGAATAATTGATGAGGGGCATTGGTAAACGGACAGGTAGGATGCTGTATGAATGGGAATCGTACGGTCTTAAAAAATTTCACAATTAGGAACTTTTTCGAACCAAATGATAATCCTTCTTGGGGTATAAAATGTGAGGACAGCATGAAGTTTTACGAAATGTAGAACAAAAAAGCATAATTTTATGCATATTTTTTATATTATATATTTTATATTTTATATTATATTATATTACATATATATATTATATGTGGATATTGGCAAAAATGCTGACCCCAGGTGTTAATATGGAAGAGGAGGATGAGGCGATCTCTGGGGAAGAAGGTTTATTCATCTGACGTTTCGTGTTCATACTCGAGCACATCTTCGGAGATAGGCTGAGCGAGAAATACAGGGTTTAAATAGGCCATCTGCACTCCCACCCGATAGGTTCGTCCCGTTCGCTTCTCGTTGCCCCCCCCTCTCGCGCGTAGATGGTGCCTGACGGCCTCGTATGGCGCTGGCAAATCGATACTTCGGTTGATAGAGTTCGTGTCTGATTTCCAAGCCTCGATTACTTCCCTCGCCAGTTTGCTTTCGGCTCGGCCGAGCACCTAGGCGCCGTCAAAGTCGAACTTGTGATTGTTTTCCAGGCAGTGCATGGCGACATGCGATAGTACGTCCTTTCGCCTTACGGCCCAAATGCGGTCCCCAATCTCCGGCTACCTGGCTGAGGCCGTCTTGCAGGAACTGGAAACGCGGGTCTTCCAGACATACAAGCCGAAATTCTGGATGCGCTACGTAGACGACACCTTCGTCATCTTACACCGAGACGCGAAAGACAACTTTAAAAGAGAATTGGACTCAGTTTTTCCACAAATCCAATTTACCATAAATAACGGAGTGCTCCCTTTCCTCGACGTCCAGGTATCGAGGCAGGAAGACGGAACCCTCCAGACTGGTGTCTTTCGAAAGGCAACAGACACGGAGAAAATTCTTCATTACAACAGCAATCACCCCCTGTCGCATAAGCGCAGTTGTGTCCGGGCCCTTTTTCGCCGCATCCACACACACTGCAGCACAGAAGCCGAGAAGCTGCGGGAGCGTAAAACCCTATGGCGCCTCTTCCTTGCCAATGGATACCCACGCAGTTTTGTGAACAAATGCTTGTACCGAAGGCACACGAAGACGGACGGTGAGAAGAAACAAAGACCAGAAATCTTCTGTGTCTTGCCCTACGTGAGTAACGTCTCCGAAGCCACTGAGCGCATACTAAGGCCGCTAGGCGTAGGCGTTGGTCACCGACCGGAGGCCACCATCCGCCGCTTAATCATGCAGCCCAAGGGCCGGCTACCACCTGCAGACACGTCAGGCGTTATTTACCGCGTCAAATGTCTGGACTGTCCAGCCAACTACTGTGGCATGACCGACAAACGCCTAAGAACGCGCATGCATGAGCACACTTTGGCCGTAAGGCGAAAGGACGTACTATCGCATGTCGCCATGCACTGCCTGGAAAACAATCACAAGTTCGACTTTGACGGCGCCTAGGTGCTCGGCCGAGCCGAAAGCAAACTGGCGAGGGAAGTAATCGAGGCTTGGAAATCAGACACGAACTCTATCAACCGAAGTATCGATTTGCCAGCGCCATACGAGGCCGTCAGGCACCATCTACGCGCGAGAGGGGGGGGCAACGAGAAGCGAACGGGACGAACCTATCGGGTGGGAGTGCAGATGGCCTATTTAAACCCTGTATTTCTCGCTCAGCCTATCTCCGAAGATGTGCTCGAGTATGAACACGAAACGTCAGATGAATAAACCTTCTTCCCCAGAGATCGCCTCATCCTCCTCTTCCATATATTATATGGATATATATTTATATTATATATTTATATATATTATATTATATATACTATAGATGTTACATATATTATATAATTATATTGTATTATTTAGTGTATACATTATATATATATTTATATTATATATTTATATGTGCGTATTTATTTATATTTTTTATAATCACCGAAAATTAGTGTGCAAAAGGCAAACTCCTTAAGTAGTCATTTTTTGCATAATGTGGTCGAACGCATGTGCATCCAACGGCCGACATCCTGGCGGGTACTAAATATTATTGGATTATGCCGCACGATAATCCCTATCACAGCCCCACTTTTCTAATCGAAAGCGCACTTCAGACTTTCGGACATTCTATGAGATCGGCCACTTACTGTACATTCAATTGGGCGGAACGCCTTCGCGAGTACTCCGCATGGCGCATTCATCAAATTGTGACCTTCCTTTTGATGACCCTCGATACCTGTAGCAAATGAATACTAAGATCGTTCATGAAAGCCTGGTTTTTATTATATGAGTTTATGACATGCAGGAGCTTGAGTTCTTTATTAGCGTGCGTCGACCTCCCGCAGGTGTTGTGACGTCAGCGTCGGCGAAGACTTCAAAACAAATTCGACAAATATATGTTTCGAATTGACTCGCAGTGATGAGGTATAGACGCCTTCCTTGAGATTCAGGTTCAGAAGTTGAAAGAATTTACGCGGCTTTTCTGACGCACTTAGTCTTCCCCCAAAACCTACGTCATATCTAGCAGATAGAGTGCTCATAGGCCCGTGTTTACTTGCCTCTCAGTAAACTGAACTAGACCTAAAATTCTAACTTAATTGTCTCCATCTGCCAGGACATATTGACAAGATGCTCTCAAAAGTACATGAAATCACCAAAAATTTCCTCTGCAATTTCAAAATCTGCGGAAATAAGACTCACGCAATAAATTATTCGTTAGGTCTGAACCAAGGTTATGCTCTTTACTCCTGGTTTGGCCTGATCTTCATCCGGTCGAGAACAGTAACCGGGGACCTTCTGAGTTGCATCTCACGTTTAACTCAGAAAACATAATCGTCATATATTTGAGTCTACTACCTGTTGGCCGAGTGAATTAGTTTGTGGGCGACAGCTGGCAGTTCTTCTATTCCAAACTTATTTCGCTTTACTGATGAGCTTTATTCCTGGAGGGCCAAACGTTGACATGCAGGGATTTTGTCTTTGTGTCATTGAACACAATTCTGTTTATACCGTTAGAAAAATTGACCGCTCAGTTCTACTCTGTATATTGGGTGCTCGGTGGCCAGGATACCGCCTTATCAGTCTGAACGTCGCAAACGACCAAGTCCACACTGTGCCTCCCAGCAAGGTGGAAGAGGAATGTTGGCCTTGGCATGAACAAGTCTAGTGGCCGCCGACTTGCGCAGCGTACGTCGCACTCTAGCCTCCCGTATCCATTTGGACCTAGTGATAAGGCTACGCGTGCGCGGCTCGAACACGGTGGACCAGGCTTTCTTTGAAACGAGGCAGGGTGGCTCTGATTTAAGCTAAGTGAGACTGCCAGAGACCACGTTATGAGGGAGAAAGTGCAGCCCCACTCTCCAGACTCCACCGACAGCCTCCCAAGTCGCGACTTTCGATGCATCAGGACAGTTCAGAAAAATGCCAGACTATCTACACGGATGAAGTGCTCCGAATTGTCATACCGCACGAAACATGACTTTTAGCTAGCGGCCATCGAAACTTGGAAAATAAATATTTCTAACTATTATTTTGCTTATAATTTAATACTAAGTATTTATGCCGCCTAACATTACCCTGTCCTGCATTGAAACTCGATTTCTCACGATGGGTGTACGCCGCTGGAATGAATTTTGTTTGCGCATGATTCATAGATGTCACATTGCCAGTTAACACGGCCGTTGAAATAATTTTCGCAGACAGATTCGCAGGTAAGTACGTCCGATCGAGACAAATGAGGACGCGGGTTCGCAACCTGACTCGGCATAGCCGGCGCTGAAAAACACTCATTAACCACGACAGTGGCTATATATTTGAACTAATGAAGCACGACGGAAGTGACACGAAAAACAAAGGGAAAAGTGTCTGTAGGGCAGTTGGCAAAATTTTCCCTAACATTCCATGTAGATGACGAAATACACATGTCAAATTTCCCCAGACAGACTACTTGGCAATCAGGCTTGCCGGAGAATTCTTTCGTGGGACCTAAATATAGATTCAACATGTGATTATCTACACACCCGTTACTGGAGACTCTTCCCAAAGTGTTAATTAGTTCCGTAAGCAGAGTGCATGACGCCAGTCTAGACATAATTAACTTCCAAAATAACAATAACTGTTCACTTAACGGCTACGGGGACATTGTCATTACACAGAGAAATATCCAAGAATACGACAAGTCTAAAAATATATAGAAAATGTAAACATTACTGAACGCCCGGTGGCTGGCGATTTCAAATTAATGTGTGAGTTATGCGTCTAAAAAAGAATGTACGGTGAAAAAACTCTTCAGGTGAAAACACAGGTTCATTTTGAGACATCTGGAATTACTTTCCCCTACACGGCATGAAACGAGTGTGTTTAATAGGGTTTTAGCGGGAAAAGACTGTCCATGAAGCCATGAAAACACGTGCGAGTCCTACCCCATACGTATGGTCTACAAAGTGCCCGACAGCTTGTGCTATGCCAGTATCAACAAACCATGGCCTTCGCAGCATGGTCTTTGCAGCCTGGTATGCGTTGGAAGTCCCCTGAAAACTAGTTCCCTGCCGGTAGCTGCGCTTGCGCTCCCGCCGAGTATATAGGTGATGGGCATGGCCTCCCAGTCATGCCCGTCCATCTGACCCCTGTTGGGTAACAATCGGGAGATGGCACCCAAAAATAATCCGCCTAACCAAAGCAGCCTGTCTTACGGAACAGGTGGTAATAGGGGTTTTATGGGTGGTGGCTGGTCGAGATGTACGATACTAGCCGAGTAAAAGCATTATTTGAGCAGGTGAATGATCGAAGTTTGCCCCTTTCCCTTTCCGTTATTACAAAATGGGTCGCCAAAGGCAATAAAGTGGTAACGGACGAGTGGAAGGCGTATAATCGTCTTTTCTTAGAAGGTTATCTACATTTCTCTGTTAACCACTCATAGAACCTCAAGGACCCTACCACCGGACGGCACACCAATGCCATTGAGGCATACTGGAGTAGACTGAAAAGGTAACTCCAAGAGGGGGACCCTGTATGCGGTCGAGCTGTGTGGGCTCACATAGAGGAAGTACAGTATCCTCTTTGGTTGGGCCTCAATGGTATGTCTTTGACACATCCCTGGGAACTGTTCCTGGCTTATGTTTTGCAGACTTATCCCATTTAAAGTGCTTTTGCTTTGCAATAAACTGCCATAATGCGAAGGTATGCCGTATATTCAGGTGTACGTGTTTAACGATGGGGAAAGGTTGGGTAACAGCGGCCATCGTCCATGTAACCCCCTGCGATGTTCGTTCGGCCAGCCCATGTTGGGCCGTCGCGGAAAGTTCAAGTAGTGCGTAAAAGTAGGCCTGCAGCCGCTGATATAGCCTGAAGGCGTTCGAGTCTACTGTTAAAGGTATTATTCCTAGGTAACGGAGTTTTTGGGTGCCGTCTCCCGATTGTTACCCCCTGTTGGGGTGATGTTGTTGTTGGTCAAGTGTATGTTGTAGATCAGGGGGTTGATGGCACGCCTAGGTGCGGGTTCGGCCCGCCAGCCAACTGCGCCCTCCCCCCCGTCCCGGTCTCCTTGACTCTGTCTTGACACTGGGTCCAGGTAGGGGAGGAGGGGAGAGTGCAGTAACTGCTGCGCAAGTCCACTATCTCTATAAACTAAACCACGCGTAAGTCACAATTCCTGTTGCACCTTGCTGTGTAGCACACGGTGGACATCGTCGGAATCGACAGCCGAGCTGTCATATAGTGTCAAAGCGCCCTTCTTTACACGAGTTAATATTAACTCGGAGGGGAGACCGGTCGTGTGCCAAAGTCAAGGCAGAGGCGACTAATGACAAAGAATTCACCGACTAGTTGGAGAAACATGAGGGCCTATTGTGAACCTCAACGGCTCGATTGGGAACGAAACGAGGAAGAGTAGTTAAATTCTGTAAAAACAACCGCTTTCGATGGCAGTCACAGTGGACTTAAAAATCCGAAAATAATTTCAAGTGTCATCCCTTTGAGTACAAGTTCCTAAGTGAAAGATCGAAACATGAAGATGCAACACTCAGACTTTGGGGTGACTTGTACCGAAGTCTAGTAGTTGAATATTTTAGAAGTAAGTTAATGAGAAAAGCTCGATACTATTCTATCTAGAATGCATAAAAAGCTTTGTTGTGGATACTATTGACCTGTTGACTATGTAGTACAGAAATGAACTTAAATTCTTTTCTCATATTCCGCTGAATGTTTACTAAATTGGCAACACTGGATAACGGACCGAAAATCTAAGCAAAGCCTTTTTCAACCACGAAGGAGCCAAGTCAGCACGTCCTGCCGGTCCTGAAACGCCGCACTAAGAAATCGATATCGAGCCGAAAATTTGAATGACGAATAAAATAGATTGCGCGAGAACAGATGGCGGAAGCACGACCAGGGGTAAACTACCGAGTTTAGCTTACTGGAAAACTTACTAGAAAGCACACATAAATACTGTCGGAAGCAGTGTCATAAATAGCTTAAAAGGATAAGTATCAATACTTATACAGAGAAACTCCGGCGGGGAGTTGTTTGGGGCCCAGTGGTGGTGGAACACTTAGATACATGAAATATTGATAGGATCTAGATGACTGTATGCGTGCGCACCTAGCTGCTCTCATAGATGAGGCCTTGCCCAATGGTTCAACGTGTTTGAATGATCATTAGTGATGGAAATGGATACTGAGGAAGATTTCGGAGCATAAATAAGTTGAGGTACGTATCAAGTTCTGTCTAAAGCGATTTTCCATAAAGAACAAACTTTCAGAAATCTTTCGATGCGCACAACTCCCTGTATAAATGAATGAAAACATTTGAAGCAAATACATCAGATATGAGCTGCAGCAGTCCTATAAATAGGAAGAAGTGAGGCAAACAACAATTAAGAAAGCATACATATGTCAACGGAGAATTAAGTAAGATGGCTAGTAAGCCAAGGCGATAATAAATGAAGTACGTTTGGAATAGCTCAGGCATATAGAGCCTCATATTGAGGCCACACACATACACACACAGACACACACGACAGTTCGACCATCGATTTCGATGATGTCCGCCGTGTGCCCCACAGACTGCATTGTGGGAGCAGGGACGGTGACTTACGCAGGGGTTTATAGTGCCAGCAGACTTGCGCTGCATCTACCTACACCCTCTCCTATCCCGCCTGAGCCCGGTGTCAAGACAGAGTCAAGAAGACCGGTGACGAGAGAGGCTGCAGTGGATGGCTCGGACGGATCCTCGCCTTGGCGTTCCACCACACCCTCTGGTCCACACAACAAATAACCAGGATTTGAACAACACAACAGAGCTTTGGAGGCTGGCACGGCCGAAGCCGCACCTGGGCGTGCCGCCAACGCCGGGCTCGGAACCCACACTGTGATGGGAGTGCCAAAAAGGCCACATTAAAAAGGAGCCATTGCAGCCTGACTCTCAGACCACCACCAGTCAAGGAGGAGGTCCAAGTTACACCGTCAGTTGGCAACCTTCAAAGCCACGGCTTTTAGCGCACCGAGATAGCTCCAAGCGCGTCAGATTGTTTATAGTGAGGAAAATGCGCTGAGTCGTCGACCTCACTCTTTCTTCCCAATCCCACACCCCAGCCACTGTCCGAGCCGGTCAGTAGACTGGAGTGGGGAATGGGCGCGGTGGCTGACATGGTCGACTGACCATGCCTGCGCGCGCCACAGCACGACCTGGCCCCCCATACACACAACACCAGGATTTCACACAACGGGGGTTGAACGGCGTATCTCCCACTGGCGTGAGAGGGCCGTGAAAGGTGATGTTTCAGCCCGTCCTCAGCCCACCAGTCCGCCATTCCACACAACACACACACAACGGGACGGACTGCGTGAGCCGAGAGCGGGCGTCAGTCAGCAGCCTTCCTATCCACGACGCTTGATGTGTCGGGATAGTCTCGGACACAAGTCACCCGTGCAGCCGAAGCCGCATGGGTACCGAGTCGAGATGCACACTTCCCACTTGCGTAGCAGGTGGCAGTTGGGTGCTTGCGATAGGTGCGTGTTCACGTGTGTTGGTGATGGTGGAGGAAGGTAGGGAGTGTGTGAATGTGTGGTATAACCGGCGGTTGTCTACCGCAGGTCGTCGTGGATGCGCATTTGGCCGAAGAGACCCATGCGATGACTGAAAGTGCGAGGGCAGTGTGGGCAGTTGAGATGAGCGTGGTGGGTGTACGTTGGTGCTCCAGGCACTGGTTCGCCAGTCTCTGTGCGATGGATTCGCAAGTGACCGACCAGGCCGATGTGTGGGACGAAGGTGCGGTCGCAGTGAGGGCAGGTGTAGTCCTGATCCTCATTGCTGGAGTCAGGAGTGTTGGGGGTGGTGTCTGTTGTTGTGTCGCGGTTGGTGATGTGCGAGACGGCCTCCTGAGCGGCCGCAGTTGGGGCAGTGAAGGAGGAGGAGGAGGAGGAGGAGGAGGAGGAGGAGGAGGAGGAAGAAGAGGAGGATGGAAGTCGTGGTTCGGAAGAATTGCCAGAGTTAGTTCGCAGCGGAGAGGACGAGGAAAAAGCGGGCGGGGAGTGATGGGTGGTGCAATCCGAGAGGCGCAGTTGCTCCGAAGATGTCCGACATGTCCAATTCGAGCCCGGAATGTCCGTTGACACCGAGGACACCTAGGCAGCGGTTAAGCGTCCGCGTTGCGTACTGGGCGAAGTTGTGCCTTGCGGGCTTCGCGTTTCGCTTTGGCGGCGGCGATGCGGTTGGCTGCGTAGATCGCAGCGCCTGTCTTCACTGCCCTCCTCCAGGTCGGTAGATAGTGTGCGAGCTCTTCCCAGTTGGTTGGGTTGATTTGCAGGCGTTTCCGGGAGGGCTTCAGAGTGTCCTTGTAACGGCGAATTTGGCCTCCTTGGCGGCAAGAACCCGTCGCGACTTCTCCGTAGAAGAGTCGTTTGGGTAGTCGCTCGTCGTCCATGCGCACCAGGTAACCGCTCCAACGCAGCTGCATTTGTCTCAACATGGAGTAGATGCTCAGAATTCCCGTCCATTCCAGCACATGAGTGTCGGGAATTCGATCCTGCCAGTTCAGCCTCAGGATGCGACGAAGACAGCTGAGGTGGAAGTGGTTCAGACGGCGTGCCTGCTTTGTGTACACCGTCCAGGTCTCCGCTCCATACAGTAGCGTCGGCAGGATGACGGCCTTGTACATCTTCAGCTTCGTGCTTAGTTGAAGACCTTGACGATTCCAAACTGTGCTTTGGAGGCGACCGAAGGCTTGGCTGGTTTTCGAGATCCTGTTGGCGACTTCGTCGTCGATCTTGGTGTTGCGGGAGAGATTACTGCCCAGGTAAGGGAAGTTCTCTACCACTTGCAGTTGGGTTCCGTTCACGTTGATTTGCGGCGGCGCGTTGGGTGGTGTGGATGAATTGGGTGGCGGTTGGTGCATCACCACCGTCTTCTGCGTGTTAATGACCAGACCGAAGTTCTCGCAGGCGGCGGCGAATAGGTCCATACTCCGTTGCATCTCTTCTTCCGAGGTGGTGTTCAGGGCGCAGTCGTCAGCGAAGAGGAGTTCGTGAACGGTGGTTGTGGATACGCGCGATTGGAAGTGCATCCGTCGTTGATTCAGGAGATGACCGTCCGTTCTGTAGGCGATGCGGATTCCAGGACGTTCGTCGCTATAGGCGTCCGTCAGCATGGCAAAGAACATACGACTGAAGAGAGTAGGCGCCAGCACGCATCCCTGCTTCACTCCGTTGGTCACTGAGAATGCCTCTGAGACAGCTCCGTTGTCCGTGACTCGCGCCATCATAGCGTCGTGCAGCTGACGCACCATCTGAGTGAATCGCTCCGGACAGCCGAATTTCTTCATGAACAAGATAGATCGGGAGTGTGCGAGTCATTTTCGGTGGTGGTGGTGGTGGTGCCTGTGGTGGTGGTGGTGGTGGTGGTGGTGGTGGTAGTGGTGGTGGTGGTGGTGGTTGTGGCCGCCGCCGCCGCCGCTGCCGAGAACGCCTCCGTGGAGAACCGCTGGCGTCAGCTGCGAGACACGGTCCAGTCGACGGCTCTCGCCGTCCTCGGTCGCGCTCCCCGCCAACACCAGGACTGGTTCGACGACAACGACGCTGCCATCAGCAATCTGCTTGCCAAGAAGAACCGCCTACACAAAGCCTACGTAGATCACCCCACTGAGGACAACAAAGCTGCCTTCTACCGCAGTCGCCTACAGCTTCAGCAACGACTGCGCGAGATGCAGGACGCCTGGACTGCTCGCAAAGCTGAGGAGATCCAAGGCTATGCGGACCGCAACGAATGGAAGAACTTCTTCTCTGCGATCAAAGCTGTCTACGGTCCGCCGACGAAGGGCACTGCTCCTCTCCTCAGCGCCGACGGCAGCACTCTCCTGACTGAGAAGACGCAAATTCTACAGCGATGGGCCGAGCACTTCCGAGGCGTCCTCAACCGCCCTTCCGTCATCTCCGACGCAGCCATCGCCCGCTTGCCGCAAGTGGCGACCAACGTGGACCTCGACCTCCCGCCATCTCTCCAGGAAACGATCAGGGCCGTGCAGCGGCTCTCCAGCGGGAAAGCACCCGGATCGGACGCAATCCCTGCTGAGGTCTACAAGCACGGAGGTCCCCTACTGATGGATCACCTGACTGCGCTCTTCCAGGAGATGTGGCGTCAAGGTGAAGTCCCGCAAGATTTCAAGGACGCAACTATCGTGCACCTTTACAAGCGCAAAGGGAATCGCCAAGTCTGCGACAATCACCGCGGCATTTCCCTACTGAACATCGCCAGGAAGATCTTCGTTCGCATCCTGCTCAACCACCTCAATAACCATCTGGAACAGGGCCTTCTGCCGGAAAGCCAATGCGGCTTCCGTCGTCATCGTGGGACCACGGATATGATCTTCGCCGCCCGCCAACTTCAGGAGAAGTGCCAGGAGATGCGGACCCACCTGTACTCTACCTGCGTGGACCTGACGAAAGCCTTCGACACGGTGAATCGTGAAGGACTGTGGAAGATCATGCAGAAATTCGGCTGTCCCGAGCGATTCACTCAGATGGTGCGTCAGCTGCACGACGCTATGATGGCGCGAGTCACGGACAACGGAGCTGTCTCAGAGGCATTCGCAGTGACCAACGGAGTGAAGCAGGGCTGTGTGCTGGCGCCTACCCTCTTCAGTCTTATGTTCTCTGCCATGCTGATGGACGCCTACCGCGACGAACGCCCTGGAATCCGCATCGCCTACAGAACGGACGGTCATCTCCTGAATCACCGTCGCATGAACTTCCAATCGCGCGTATCCACAGCCACCGTGCACGAACTCCTCTTCGCCGACGACTGCGCCCTGAACACCACCTCGGAAGAGGAGATTCAACGGAGCATGGACCTATTCTCCGCCGCCTGCGAGAACTTTGGGCTGGTTATCAACACGCAGAAGACGGTGGTGATGCATCAGCCGCCTCCCAACTCAGCCACAGCCCCCAACGCGCCGCAAATCAACGTAAATGGGACTCAACTGCAAGTGGTAGAGAACTTCCCGCACCTGGGCAGCACGCTCTCCCGCAACACCAAGATCGACGACGAAGTCGCCAACAGGATCTCGAAAGCCAGTCAAGCCTTCGGTCGCCTCCAAAGCACAGTTTGGAATCGTCAAGGTCTTCAACTAAGCACGAAGCTGAAGATGTACAAGGCCGTCATCCTGCCGACGCTACTTTATAGAGCGGAGACTTGGACGGTGTACACGAGGCAGGCACGCCGTCTGAACCACTTCCACCTCAGCTGTCTCCGCCGCATCCTGAGGCTGAACTGGCAGGATCGAATCCCCGACACGGAAGTACTGGAACGAACGGGAATCCTCAGCATCTACGCCATACTGAGACAAATGCAGCTGCGTTGGAGCGGTTACCTGGTGCGCATGGACGACGAGCGACTACCCAAACGACTCTTCTACGGAGACGTCGCGACGGGTTCCCGTCGTCAAGGAGGCCAAATTCGCCGTTACAAGGATACCCTGAAGTCCTCCCTGAAGCGCCTGCAAATCAACCCGACCAACTGGGAAGAGCTCGCTCGCGATCGCCCGACATGGAGGAGAACAGTGAAGACGGGCGCTGCTATCTATGAAGCCAACCGCATCGCCGCCGCCAAAGCGAAACGCGAAGCCCGCAAGGCACAACTTCGCCCAGTCCGCAACGCCGCCGCACAACCTCCACCTACGTGTCCTCGATGTCAACGGACATTCCGGGCACGAATCGGACTTGTTGGACATCTCCGAACCAACTGCACCTCTCGAACTGCTCCAGCCATCGTCCCCCCGCCCGCCTCTTCCTCCTCCCTTCCGCCAACTAACTCTGACACTCCTTCTGCACCACCAATTCCAGCGGCCCCAGCGGCGGCCGTTCAGACTGCTGTCTCACACATCACCAACACCAACACACCAACCAACATCACCTCTCCCACCTCTCCCGATACCACTGATGAGGATCAGGACTACACCTGCCCTCACTGCGACCGCACCTTCACCTCTCGCATCGGCCTGGTCGGTCACTTGCGAATCCATCGCACAGAGACTGGCGAACCGGTGCCTGGAGCACCAACCTACACCCACCGCACTCGTCTCCACTGCCCACAATGCCCTCGTACCTTCACTCATCGCATGGGTGTATTCGGCCACATGCGCATCCACGAGAGCGGAATTGACCGCAGCCTTGACACATCCACCCCGCCGAGCCCCACTCCCAATCCACCACCTTGTGCACCCACTAACAACTCCCCAGCCGACATCGACGCCACCGACCTTACCACCCCTCACTCCTCCCCTTTCTCCTCCTTTTCCTCCTTCACTGCCACAACGACGGCCGCTTCGGCGTCTGTCGCCCACGACTTCACCACAGCCGAACCTGACACAACAACCGGCACAACCCCTGCAACCTCCATCATCGGACGTGAGGGCCAGGACTGCATCTGCCCTCACTGCGATCGCACCTTCACTTCACGCATCGGCCTGGTCGGTCACTTGCGAATCCATCGCACAGAGACTGGCGAACCAGTGCCTGGAGCACCAACCTACACCCACCGCACTCGCCTCCACTGCCCACACTGCCCTCGCACCTTCACGCATCGCATGGGTCTATTCGGCCACATGCGTATCCACGACGACCTGCGGTAGACAACCGCCGGTCACACCACACATTCCCTCACTCCCTACCTCCTAACACCATCACCCCACCAGACATCAACACTCACACACCTCATGCACTCAACTGCCGCCTCTTACGCAAGTGGGAAGTGTGCATCTCGACTCGGTACCCATGCGGCTTCGGCTGCACGGGTGACTTGTGTCCGAGACTATCCCGACACGTCAAGTGTCGTGGATAGGAAGGATGCTGATTGAGGCCCGCTCTTGGTTCGCGCAGTTCGTCACGTTGTGTGTGTTGTGTGTAGTGGCGGACTGGTGGGCTGGGGATGGGCTGAAGCAGCACCTTCCACGGCCCTCTCACGCCAGTGGGAGATACGCCGTTCAACCCCCGTTGTGTGAAATCCTGGTGTTGTGTGTATGGGGGGCCAGGTCGTGCTGTGGCGCGCGCAGGCATGGTCAGTCGACCATGTCAGCCACCGCGCCCATTCCCCACTCCAGTCTACTGACCGGCTCGGACAGTGGCTGGGGTGTGGGAATGGGAAGGGAGAGTGAGGTCGACGACTCAGCGCATTTTCCTCACTATAATCAATCTGACGCGCTTGAAGCTATCACGGTGCGCTAAAAGCCGTGGCTTGGAATGTTGCCAACTGACGGGATACCTTGGACCTCCTCCTTAACGGGAAGCGGTCTGAGAGTCAGGCTGCAATGGCTCCTTTTTAATGTGGCCTTTATGGCATTCCCACCACAGTGTGGGATCCGAGCCAGACGTTGGCGGCACGCCCAGGTGCGGCTTCGGCCGTGCCAGCCTCCAAATCTCTGTTGTGTTGGTTGAAATCCTGGTTATTTGTTGTGTGGACCGGGGGGTGTGGTTGAACGCCAAGGTGAGGATCCGTCCGAGCCATCCACCTGCGGCCTCACTCGTCTCCGGTCTTCTTGAATCTGTCTTGACACCGGGCCCAGGCGGGGGAGGAGGAGGGAGTGTAGGTAGATGCAGCGCAAGTCTACCCGCACTATAAACCCCTGCGCAAGTCACCGTCTCTGCTCCCACCTGGTGTGGGGCACACGGTGGACATCGTCGAAATCGACGGTCGAACTGTCGGTGGTGGTGGTGGTGGTGGTGGTGGTGCTGGTGGTGTTGGTGGTGGTGGTGGTGGTGCTG